TGGATTTACTGTATCGTACGATTTCATTGATTTCACTGATTGATTGCTGTGCATCGACATTGAGCATTGATATAGAAATGGATGGATATAGATATTGCATTGATAGCATGGACATGAATAGTATAGAATCATTGACACTGTTGTCTATAGATTCATTGATTTCTGCTTATAGATTCATTGTTACTACTGCCTATGGATTTATTGATCTTGCATATAGATTCACTGTTGTTATTGTTTCTGCACCGTATTGACTGCTGCATGGAATCACTGTTAGAATAGATTGAGATTTATCGTACTGCTTTCCTCGTTTGATTTCATTGAATAGATAATATTGATTGATAGACACTGCTACGATGGATAGATATGGCTTCCAGTCACTTACTGATTTGATTGCTGAGACGTATTGATTTATCGATGTTTTTACCGCTGTATTGATTATTGACTATTGATTTCCGTACTGCATTGACTACTGATTTGATTTCCGCTGTACAGACTTGATTTCATTGACTATGAATTTCCGTATTGCATAGACTCATTGACCATTAATTGACTTGATTTGATTGACCTGCATATTGATAGCATCGTCATGCTTTGATTTCAGTTGTAGGCTTTGGTGACCTGCTGGGCTTTGTAAAGCTCATTATATGTGGTTGAAATTTTCAGGTCCGAGCAAGGCAACTGGAATGGAGTTCGATCAGAATGTTAGACGAATCCTTTCACTATTGATATCTGGGGCATCACAAGGCGAATCTGAAAGGGCAAATGCCCTCCTTACCTCCGGGCGCCGGGGAGGATATGTTGGAAGGCTGCAGAAATTTCTAGTGAAAGCAGGAGACCTAAAACTAAATGAACTTATATTTGAATGAACTCTAAAAGACTTAGTTTGGACTTAACTTTTAATGAATCACAAGCAATTGGATATAAACATAGGGCATGGAATTTTAAAATGACAAATGCACATTAAAATCACAAGTGTTAAATGATCCTGAGCATCCAAATAAGTCAAAAGAATGAATAAGGAACTCACAACGGGCGAAGAAATTCAAATACAACTGGCTTATAAATCACAAACCCGAGATCTCTACAATTCACTTATAAATAGAAGTAGGAAGTTCACAATGCTCATAACAACTAGCCTGCGAGCAAGAACAAGGAGCTTGTATCGAACAAATCAATCCACCTACGGGGAGAATATGTGAATTTGTAACAAGCAAGATAATTCTTCTACGAGCACGATCTAGTAGTGGCGATTGAGCAAACACCCTCTACGAGCTGTGCTAAGTGATGCTTTGAAGAGTTAAAACGAACTAAATGCAATAATTGAAATCTAGAAAGCTTTAATGCCACTGGATCTACAATATGTGTACAAGCTGATAGAAAGCGTTCGTAAGCACTTCAAAGAAATCTCAGGCATTTTTCTAAAATAAAAAACCACTTGCATAAATCGATCATATTTAAATATATTAAAATGCCCCTTATGTAGTAAATATGATCCTCTAAACTAAAAATGCTACCACCCTGCATGTGCTCCGATCAACATGTTAAAGTTACAAACACAAATATTCAAGAATGTTCGTAGGTTCAAATGCTTGTTAATAGAATATTCTATTTGCAAAACTAAATGCACCTTGCATGTGCGGTCAATGTGTTAAAAGTATAAACACCAATGTCTGAGAATATTTCGCAGGTCAAAAGCTACCACCTTGCATGTGCTCAAACAAACATACTACAAGTACAAACACCAATGTCTGAGAAAGCTGTGTAGGGTCAAATGCTCATTTTATTTTCAAACTAAACAAAACCCGCATGTGCTATGATCATCACATCTGAATCTCAAAATCCAATGATTCGAGAATGGTGCAGGGGCCAAATATTCAAGTCTCATCCTCTTCCACAAAGGAACTGGAGTTAACATGACTTGAATTGCACAATGTCCCCCAAAATCCTACAAAAATACAAGTGACCATAACATCACCCCGATGATGGCTGTGTTGATCAGAAATCTCAACCAAATGGGTCAAATCTCAAATCCAACAAAAGTCTAAATCTCGGAAATGAAATCTTTCACCTAAAAAAACATAAAACTAAAATCAATCAACCTTCCACAAGCATTTATCGGTGATGATAAATTTGAAATTAACCTCAGCTCACAAAGAGCGAATGTGTGTCGGGTGTATCACTAAGATTCATCCATAAATAATCTCTTGCTAGCAGGAACGTGGCACGTGCCCTTTATCGGGTGGTTTTGCCACAAAATATCATAATTATATTACAATCATGGACAAAGCCCGTATGTGCCCTAAAGGCTTCAAACCCTTGAGTTATGAATCATAGGGTATATCTGATAGACACAAAGCCCTCTTTTAACTAAGGTGGATTCAGATCTATCCTCTTAGAAAAACACCAACCCAGGTCTACAATATATTCTTATATGAAGCAATCCATAATTGCCTATAGAAAACCAGAACTCAGATAAAAAAATCCTCACAAAATGAGGGAAAAATCTCTATGTAGTGTTTTATCTAAATTAAAATCCAATCTGCCTTCTGAAAATTCACCCGGAATCTAAACTTGTTAAAACTCACTGCCGTCATCATTACACTTAACAAAAAAGTAGATCAATAGTGCGGAGTGGCCGGGGCACGCACCTATGGAATTTTTGGAGCCCACAATCTTGTGTGGTGAAGAAACAAACCGGCATAATTCATGGCCATGTCTATATGGAATTCACAGTTAATGCAAAATTTTGTCGAAAGAATATTGATTAAACAAATCATATCCATTTTTTTTCAAAGTGGGTAGAATTATGGTTAAAAAGTAGCTCTCCATTGACTGCAACTCCTTTGGCATTGTTTCGGCAGCTCGTTTCTTGGTGCTTAATGCTCCTCAGTTTTACGGTTCCTATGGCTCCATTATTTTATTTGGTTCATGCAACTCCATTTATTCATTGCATCGAAGCATCTATTATGATATTTTGTAATTGCTCCTATAATTATAGATATCCAACATCATTATGACCCCATATATATAAACTTACTCTAGTGTATATTAGATTCAAAGCATCACCAATTTGATCCTGGAGAAATACTTGCTGATCTTTTATCAATTGAATATCATATACTCAATTTTTACTTTGCTACCTTTAGGTTTCTTATCATCTGAAAATTTTCTAAATTTCTCATTAGCATTCATTATGTTGGAAGATGCCACGTCTATTAAAATTATATCATCTGAAGCATAACTTCAATTATCCTCTATAAGCATACCTACAACAACTTCAAAAAAAAAAAAAAAAAAAAACAAACTTGATATTGTTCCAGATGTAATCTTATCATGATTGAAAATCTCATCAGTCATAATAAATCTCATCATTCATATCTTTGATAATTTCAATATAACTATGACATATTATTCTATTTCACTAATACCCACCAAAGCAACACATGGTATTTTAGATGATGTGCCATTTTTCTAATCAGTGAAATCTATATGAACGTCAGTTCATTACCCCCTGCACTTTTTCACTAATTAGCTAGGAGTTATCTTAAAAAAAAAGAACTACATGAGCAATATTCCTCTTAGGGTGACATTACAATCATGTCAATTATATATTGCAAGATCAAATATAGACAAAAAAAAAAAGCTAATACTAGCCAAATAAAAAGGCTTTTCAGTTAAAACATAGTTACAAGAACCGACCAAGTAAGAGGATGGTGCAATGTTCGAAAAAGTATATTGATTAAAATCAAAAACATTGGTTAATAATACAAGGTGTCAAGGTTACCATCAAACACAAATCAGCTGCATTTCAACGTTCTAGACCCTATATGCTTTCAAACTTTGGATGAGAAAAGATTCTATAAATTGTTCAGACTAAACAAACCTGATCCATTCAACAATGGCTTCTGTCCAATGCAAACGAGTACAACTCAAGCACAAGTGTGAATCTACGTGCAGCACTATCAGGAACTGTCAAAAGGACAACTTCTTGACCAAGTAATTTTACCATAAAAGATAAAAACCCTTGGCATTCAGCAATCATATACGCTAACTTTAGTCAATTTTTCAGTTCGTTTTTATCTTCTTCCTTTTGAGGAACTTTAAAGTTATCAGCATTTGAACTTATAAATTTCTTATCGTCATTCTCAGCAATAGCTCCACTTGATGAATGGTTCTTTACAACAACAGAAATGTCTGCTTCAGATGCGCCAGCTAGCTTGAACCTCTCCACAGCTCCATCAAGAGTTTTCTTCCAATCACCAAACCCAAGCTTAAATTCAACTTGAGAGCGTTCAAAAAGCAAGTTTCCCCAGAACAGATGTATCTGAGATCTCATCATGGTAGCCTGCTCTGCTGCCTCCTCAGCAGATAGTTCCCCTTGACCATCCACTATCCCTTGTTTTTTTTTCCTCTTCAACAATTCATCCTTTTTGTTGAAGCTAGGGTCTTTGAGTTCATTAATCCTCTGCTCTTCGGCCTTCTCCCACATCGTGGTTGCAGCCTTCATCTTCTCCTCTGCACTGTCAAAAAGTTTGATTGTCTCAGAAGAATCCCATGTTGTCAAATCCACTTTACTAGCCAGAGCAAAGGACCAATGCAACTTTGCAGTCTCAAAATGTTGCTGTCCAAGTGCAAGCAATCCTTCATAGAAGTCTGGCTTTACCTGAAGTGCCTCCTCATATTTCTGTCCAGCAAGAACATATCTTTCCTTAACCCAATCATATGCTTCCTGAAGCCGAGCATCCATTGCTTCCTTTTGCAAAGACTCATCCAAAGGTATACGCTTTCTTGCAGCACACATATGTACGTTTCCCCAGTTGAAGAAGGCAAGTGCTGCCACCTCTTGGAATTTAGCAGCAGACATCTCAAAAAGCGCCTGAGCTTCTTTACTTGTTATTGTCTCCTCAAGTGCCTCAGAGCACAACTCCATCCCAAGCTCATGAAGATCCAAGTGCGCATCTGGGTCAATACCAACCTGCTGACGGAAAAGCTGGGCAAACTCATAAAGCCAGTCATCAATATCAACTTCCTTACACTCAGCATGATCACACCCTTTCCGCTCATTGTCCTTCACCACCTGTTTCGCTGAAGTATTATTAATGGCAAAATCATCCACACCCTCCGCAGGTAAATCCCCGACCAAAGAAGGTGACTGATTCTCATCACCCTTCACCAACTCCTCCTCCTCAATATTATTCACCTCTTCATCTGGTACAGAAGGCTCCTGCTCAGGGCTCACCTCCACAACATAGAGCCTTAAAACCTGAAGCTTTTCTTTCACCACCTGCCCATTTTCTTTCTGCAAATTCTTCCCACCAATTTCTTCAGCACAAGACTCTGCCAGCCTGAGCTCCCGTGTGCTCGTAACAGTAACAAGATCGCCATCCAAATCCTTGTACTTGACCAGAACCGACTTTGAAGAAGGAAACCTTTTCGCCACAATTTCTCTCAATGTCTTGAAGCTGCAATTAACTGGCATCTCAGAAAGCCGAATATCATGATCATAAACCAGCTTCAGTGGTCTCACTCTAGTGATGACCGTAGATTTTGCTGCTGCATCAGAAGAAAGATTATTCTCATAGTCTGCCTTCACGGCAAGCCTGGGAAGAGATGGAGAGGAAGACTCTGATTTCAACTGAGGACCATTGGGAAGAGATATTGTCGCAGATACTCTCTCCTTCTCCGCTGCGAATTTTTGCAACGGCGGAGGGGAAGAGGGTTTCTTGGACACGGGACGAGAGGGGAGGCACGGTCCCAGGCCAGCAATGGGGGCCGCTGCACGAACAGCTGAAGCGCCCAGAGCTGCAGGCGAGGGGCGACTGGCGAGGGACTGTTCCACATGGTGCGAGGGGGAAGGTGAGAGGGCAACACGGAGTCGGCGTGCGAGATCTAGCGCATCGGAATGCGAGGGTTCCAGCGCGAGCAAAGAGTTGACGTCCTGGAGGGCAAGGTCGTAACGCCGGAGTGCCTCAAGGGCTCGTGCGCGTCGGAGAAGAGCACGACAGTAACGCGGCTGGGCTTGAAGGGCGAGAGAGCACTCGGCGGCGACGGCCTCGTGGTCAATAGGACGCATCTGAAGTAGGCAAGCGGCTCGGTTCGAGTGGAAGACGGCGCGCTCCGGGTGGCCACGAGGGAGAAGCCTGAGGGCTAGTTCGTACTGCTCCAGCGCGCCGGCGTAGTCCTTGGCTTGGAAACGTTGGTTTCCCTCCTCCTTGAGCTCGTGAGCGCGTTTGAGGAAAACAGAGGGGTCGCCTCCCAGCCCATTCAACTGCATGGAGGCCGTTGGCAGTGAAGCCGATGTGGTGGAAAACTGGTCGGCAGAGTTGCCAGATTTCTTCCTCCGCCCACCGGATTTCCCCATTCCTACGCTGCTTAAACGGAGAGATTTGGTTGATAGCGGGCAAAATGCCTTTTCAGGGTAGAGAGGCGGCGATAAATGAAACCCTAGAGAGATGTTAATTGGCCATGGAATCGGAGAAGGGATGTTAATTGGCACCGTTCAGCTCTGTGCCGATGCAATCCATCTAACAATTTAGCTATTTGCTTATATAATTTGTTCATGATTTTGCTACAATTCATTTATAATTCAATCAAGACATATAAGCAAAATTAAATTTTGATCATTCTATGTAAAATATTTTGTGCATATGTTAGAAATGCTAAAAGCACCTATGTAAATGATAGGAGGAATGGCAAATTCAATCCGAAATAAAAAGAAAAAAAAATCTTGAAATAAAATGAGAAAGACTTTGATAGTGATTTTGATCTAAAACATTAATATCTTATCAACACCATGTGATAGAGTTTCACTTACCATTGATGGGTTGTGCAAAATTCTTAAAAAAATATATTGCTCATATTAGATGGCTTACGCATCTTGATGCACACAGGATAAAATGCATCCTTGAGTAAATGAAATGACATATTGCTTTTGCCTTCAATTGTTGGTAGTGAAAGAATAATTAGAACTGCCAAATTACACATCATAATTATGCCTTAAAACCAGCATGTTCTTGGCTCTTACAAGAAAGCTACTAGTATTCCACATCCTTAATTGCTAGCATGATGAGACCATCCTTACCAAAATGACCATTCCCTTCTTTCTAGTTTGTTTAGGATCTGGCATCTTGCCTAGGCCTTACTTGCTAGTATGCCCAACCCCTACCTGTCGAGTTGCCAAGGCTCTGCCTCCCAGCATGCCTAGGCCCTGCTTGCTAGTAACTCAGATACTGCCAGCTAGTAAGCTAAGCTAATTTAGGCCAGGTTGCCCAAGCCTTACCTACTAGCGTGGCCAGGACTTGCCTACCAGTATGTCATGTCCCTGCCTGGTATAATGCCCTAGTTTTGGATGCTAAAATGTTGTGGCCCTGCCTACTATCATGCCTAGGCTCTGGCTACCATCATGCCAAGGCCCTGACTACCAGCTAGACTAGGAACTCTCTACTAGGTTGTAAAGGATCTTGCTCCTAGTGTGCCCAGTCTAAATCCTAGTAATATCCACTAGCAAGTGTACTTATAATTACTCCTTTTAAGATATTTTTTCTTTAAGATGGCATGTTGGGAACTAGTGGCATTACATACAAGTACAAAATGTGATTTTTATACCTAAAAAAAATTTATAAGTTTTTTGGTCATTTTTGAACTACTTGAGCATTCTAGATGTATTATGCCCTGCCTATCTAATGGAGGGAAGCTCCAATATAATGTAGAGGCATTTTTCCCTCAACGAACGTGTGGGATATCGCTATTATGTTATAATTCTTAACAGCAACAAATAAATGCATGTTGTTTGGACATGAAATCTTATTTTTCTATCAACACCATGTGAGAGACAAAACACTTACCTTTGATTGGTTGTGCCTAGTTCAATGCATAATATGTTGCTTCATATTAAACGTCCTCATGCTTTATGCATATAAGATAAAAAGAATTTGTTAATAAGTGTTGTGACTTGGTTCTTATGCCTTTGATTATTGATTTCTAAAGAATATTTAGATGTGTCTAATCCCTACTTGTCAGTGTGCCTTAGCCGTGCTTGGAAGCATACTAAGAAATTGCATGTTAGCATGCATAGTCCTTTTTAGCTAATGTGTCATTGCCTCGCCTGCCAGTGTGCCCAAGCCCATTCAAATGTACTCATAAGTACTCATTTTAAAACTTTTAGGCATCACGATAGCATATTGGATGCACATTGGTGTATGTAAAAGTAAAAAATTATTTTAAAGGCAAAAAAAAATTTAGGCTTTTTGGACTTTTTCGAACTACCATAATATTTTGGATGGAATAGGCCCTACTTGTTTATTAGAGGGGAGCCCAAACATGATGTGTAGTCATCTTTCTATAAAAAAAGTTGCATGACATTGCTATTTTTCTATAATTCTTAACAAGAGGCCATAAAGGCTAGTTATTTTGATCTAAAACATTCATTTCTTTATCAACACCTTGAGATAGATTTAACGTTTACCTTTGATGGGTTATACCTAGTCCTCAAAACAATCTGTTGCTTCATATTATATTGCTTATGCATCTTGATGCAAACTGAATAAAACATATCCATGAATAAATGATGTAACATGTTGCTTGATCCTTTGATTGTTGGTTATGAAAGAATAATTAGATGTTCAAAGTTATACACCATAATTATGCCTCAAAGCCAACATGTTCTTATCCCTTAAGTGCAAGTTGCTAGTGTGTCTCAGTCTTGGCTGCCATCATGGAGAGACTCTGCTTGCCAAAATAACTAGGCCCTTCTTGTTAGAGGGTTAAGCCCTAGCTGCCAATGTTCTTAGGTCATGTTTTCCTAAGCCTTGCATGGCAGCTATCCAAGCACCGCCATCCAGGTAGCCAATGCCCTCTTCTAGCCAGCATGTATAGGCCCTACCTGTTAGTGTGAGCGTTCTTAGACCCTGACAATCAATGTGCCAACGACCTAGCTATTAACACACCCAGACCCAAGCTTCTAGCATGCCTAGGCCATGCCTCCACTTATATTTAGACCCTTATTTCTAGCATGTCCAGGACCTAGTGTCTTCCCTTGGCCATGGCTGCCAGCATGCCCTAACCTACCTTCGAGGTTAATAAGGCTCTACCCACTAGCATGCCTAGGCCCTACCTACCATCGATTAGACACTACCAACTAAAAAGCCAAAACCATGCCAACTAGGTTGCCCAAGCCCTACTTGGTAGCGTGACTAGAACCTTTCTGTCGAGATGCAATGGCTCTCCTTGCCTGGATGCCCTTGTTCTAGCTGCCTGCATATTATGGCCCTGCCTGCTAGAATGTCTTGGTTCTGGTAACTAGTGTACCTTGGCCCTGCCTACCAGCATGCCTAGACCTTGGATGCTACTGTGCCAAGGCCCTGGCTACCAGTATGCCTAGGACCACTCTTCTAAGTCGCCAAGGCCCTGGTTGCTAATATGCCCAATCCATGAGCCTTCTTACATTCATTAGTAAATGTACCTATAAGTACTCCATTTATGATTTCTGGGCTTCAAGATGGAATGGTGGGAACTAGTGGGGTTATGTACAAGTAAAAAATATGGTTTTTTATAACAAAAAAAATTGTAAGTTTTTTGGTCATTTTTGAACTACTAGGGCATTCTGGATGTATTATGCCCTACCTATCTAATAGACGGAAGCTTGAATATGACGCATATGCATTTTTCCCTGAGTGAATGTGTGGTATATGGCTATTGTGCTATAATTCTTAACAATAGTATATAATGGCTTATTATTTGGACATAAAATTTTATTTTCCATCAACACCATGTGAGAGACATAACACTTTCCTTTGATTGGTTGTGCCTAGTTCTATGCATAGTTTATTGCTTCATATTAGATGACTCTCATGCATCTTGATGCATATAAGATAAAAGGAATCAATGAATAAGTGAAAATACTTGGTGCGTGTGCCTTCGATTGTTGGATTCTAAAGAATATTTAGATGTGACTTATCCTTTCTTATCAATGTGCCTTTGGCATACTTGGCAGCATGCAAAGGAATTGTATGTCTGCATGCTTAGGCCTTGCCAGCTAGCATGCCTAGACTCTGCCAACCAGTGTGCCCAACCCACTCAAATGTACTCATAAGTACTCAATTTAAGACTTTAGATATCATGATAGCATGTTGGGTACAAATGGGTGTATGTACATGTAAAAATATACTTTTTGTGCCAAAAAAAAATTGAGCATTTTGGCCTTTTTTGAACTACCGAAGAATTTTGGACGAAATAGGCCTTACCTGTCTACTAGAGGGGAGCCTAAATATGATACATAGTCCTCTTTATATCAGCAAACTTACAAGACATTGCTATTTTGTTATAATTCTTAAAAAGATAGCATAAAGGCTTATTGTTTTGATCTGAAATATTCCTTTCTTATCAATACCATGCGAGAGATTTAACACTTCCTATTGATGGGTTGTGCCTAGTTCTCAGAATAATACGTTGCTTTATATTAGATTGCTTATGCATCTTGATGCATACAAGATAAAATGTATACGTGATTAAATGAAGTGGCATATTGCTTGTGCCTTCGATTGTTGGTTGTGAAATAATAATTAGATGTGCCAAGTTACACATCATAATTATGCCTCATAGTGAGCTTGTTTGTTTCCCTTTACGCAATTGCTAGTGCTTGTCAACCCTAATTGCCATTATGCCCAAGCCCTGCTTTCTATGGTAACCAAGCCTTGGTGGCTAGTGTGACCATTATTTGGTTGCCAGGCCTTGCATGCAAATTATCCAGGCACTGCTTGCCAAGTTGCAAAGGATCTATGCTTGCAAGCATGCCAATGCCCTGCCTTCCAGTGTGCACGTGCCCTGGTTACTATTTTCCTATACCATGTCATGGCCTTCTTTACCAACGTGCCCATGCCATGGTTACCAACATGCCCAAGCCCTGTCTTCCAGTGTGCCTAAACCTAGAGTGTGCCAAAGTCTCCTAATAGATATACTTAAAAGAACTCAATTTAAGATGTTAAGGTTTCAAGATGCCATGTTGGGAACTCATGTGTATATGTATAAGTAAAAAATGCATTTTCTATGGAGAAAAAATTGTAAGCTTTTTGGGCCTTTTTGAACGATCGAGGCCTTTTTGGTGTTATTAGCCCAATCTGCATGTCAGAGGGAAGCGAAACGTGTAGGGGGTAAGAAATTTTTTTTCTTACCGAACTTATATGTCTTAGCATTTGTGCTATTATTCTTAGTGTGAGCATACAAAGGCTTGTTATTTGGATGTCAAATCTCGATTTTCTATCAACAGCATGCGGGAGATGAAACACTTGCCTTTGATGCTTTTAATTGTGGCTAATTCTTAACTCGATTTGTTGCTTCATACTTGATATGGCTAAATTCTATCTCAATGCACATTGTATTGAATGTTCTTATGAATAAATGAAGTAACCCTATACTCCCCCCTTTGATTATTAGAAGTGAAATATTAAAAAAAAGTGCCAAATAGCATGTCATCATGGGTATTATTAGAGTATATGCTCCATATGTCGCTTGGAATTTTACATCTTACATAGATGTTCAACTTGACTGAACTTTCCTACTATATATGCC